GCATTCGCACCTCGTAAATGGCTTTTCATGGCCGAGATATGGAATTCACGGCTCGGTGAAATAGAATCACGGCTCGTAGAAATGGAATCACGGCTGGCAAATCCATAAAACCATGGCTCAAAAAATTCAGTCGCGGCTCGCCAAGTAGATATATTCCATACTAGTCTGTCACTGGCCACTGCTTCTGCACTCTGCAGTGAGACTGAGTTACATTTTTTGCTACTGAGAGGTAAGTTTGTAACCAATATGTACATTGGCTGATTGAGATATTGACGGTACAGTGGCGACTGGCGACTGGCGAGCCAGTGGTTTATGGTTATCAGGTTATGTGCTATACTGCAGCTATAGTGCAAACGCCAAACAGTGCTATATTTTGAGGTATTCTGTAATCTGTACTCTGTAGTAGACTAGTAGGTACGTACTGCTGGTACTGGTACAGTGCCAACAGTGGTAGGCCTACTGTGACAGTGTGACTGCTGTCTTTACTCTTTAGTCCTTGGGGCTTGACTGTCTTGCTAAGACTTGCTTGGACAGCTGGATGCCTGGACTTGCTTGCTGGAGTCAGTGGTGAGTGGAGTGACATTGATTTTAGTGCAAAAGCACTGTCCTGCAGTCATCAGTCATGACTCTTCAGTCAAATGAGTCAATGGTCAACCTGCTCAAGCTCAACCAGGACGTCTGCTCCTTTTCCAGGGTATGTGCTCCAATTTTGGCTGGCGTGGGCTGTGGCTGTGGCACACTCTCCTCTAAATTCCATAGGTAGCTAGCTACACCTACATGACCATTAAAAAGGGCATTTAGAATGCCACCATGGGTGGCCTCCTGCACGCGCATGGCGCGCCGCACAAGCTTCCTAAAATCACGGGTCAAAATAAATTTTTTTGGGGAAGTTCTAAAAATTGCAGATGATGTTGTGAATGTATGAAATTGGCATTTACCAGATTTATGGGTGTTTTTGTCCTATTCGCAGTGCATCAGGGCTGGAACAGTCCTATTTTTTTCTGAAATATAGCAGCTCCAAATCCTGCAATATCATAGGATACAGCCTTTCAGCAGGTAACCTAACCTAACCTAACGTATACCTAATTTCAGTAGGTATGAACACAGTGCAATTACATACCTATCAATTTTAAATTACCTTGGTAATTTGAGTTTTGTGAATGCCGAACTTAAATTAGAGGAACGGCTCGCAGCCTCCGTCAGACAACCTCCCATGCTGACAGTCTAGATAACACTGCCTGCCTGCCTGCAGTAGTGCAGCTGCCAGCTGCGCAATGAAGATTGCGCTCACAGCAGTGTTCGTGTAAGCGGTATATCAATGCAAAATAGTCTTAGAGTGCCAACACGGCAACACAGTCTTAACTTACTCATGGAACGCAAAATGACTAATCTTCAAGATCATTTATAAATTAATAAAAGCAACATTCTTCCTTAAACAGAACAAGCTATAAGCTCTCAGGCCCAACGGTCATCCATCTGGCAGACCTGCGGCTTTAAGTCCACTCCAAGTGGACACCCTGCAAAGAAAGAAGAAGGAGAGAGTCAGCTGCGGGCTTAGCGTAGTTAACACCAACGACAACGAGGCAACGCTGAGCGGCTGAGGCTGAGACCACCCTCCTACCAACAGTACCAAGCTACCAATCCGTTAATGCTAATTATAACAATAACACTAACGTCATCACAGAAGGGAAAGCACTTGTGTACAATGTGTAGGACTGTAGGTGGCCTTCAATATAGAAACTAGGTACAATTTTTTTATCAATACTGAGTCGCAACTTCCTAGCGTAGTCGAAACTCGAAACAGTGCCGTAGCCTAGTTGAACATTGCAAATCGCAATTATCTCAATTTTTAGCGCATTTTCTCATTTATGGAAAAATGCACTATTGTGCTCGGCGCTCGCCATGTCCGTCTGTCCGCCCAAAGGCGCCCATGACCTCAAGTTTTTGTGGACGAGAAAATGCGCTCTCTGTCACCTAGTCTGGATTCTGGAAAAGTCCTATTTTTGTCTGAAATATCGCGGCTCTAATATCATATAATTTCAGTAGGTATGAAATCTCGCGGCTCGAATGTCATAAATTTTTGTTTGATTAAAAAATCGCGGTTTGCACTTCGCAAACATGTCATTTCATAAAATTTTCAACTTCCGCAATCCGCATTG